GAGGATCATTGACTGCTTCTTTCTGCAGCTGAAGAGTGAATGAATTAAGAACCAGTGAAATTACCGTCACAAGCTGCCTGGCTTTATGATTGATCAAAAGTACTACTTGACACAAGAAAGGGAAAAATATGAAAGAATAAGCGTCTCTGATTCTTCTGTAAGTGCAAAAGGTTGCGCTGAGCGCCTGTGATGAGCTGCTGAGCCCAAACAGCACTCTAAGAAACTTTTACTCTAAATACATGAAAACTGCTAAAACCCAGAGGTGTGATTGAGTCTCATTTAGTTCAAAGTTAAAGAAAGTGGAAAATATTGAAGCAGATTAAGTCAAACTGGTTTAAAATCAAGTCCCTGAATAGTTAATAAAGGTATCACACATGGATCAATATTTGTCTAGCTGCAATAAAAATGATTCGTTTTCCAACTGAGCACTGTAGTGTTCATTTTTATGCTGTAAACCATTGTGTATGCTCTTGAACGAACTGCAAACCAGGCCTTTTAAAGGTCAATTTGCTTTTGATGGCCTTAAAATCCCATTGATTTAAAAGTTTGTCTGAGCCCCAGAAGGACTGAATGAATCTTTCATTGAAATATTAGTGAAAATGTAACTGAAAATTCTCCACCAATGATAATGAATTTTGTCCTACAAAACTCATCATCATGAAAATGCCAAACAGAAAAAATTATGTTTGCAACCAAATAATTAAAAAGTAAGTAAAAAATATAAATAAATAACTGAAACAAACCGAGGAATTTTCTTACGTCAGATCAGGGGCGCCCAATCCCAGTCCTCGAGAGCTACTGCAGCTTTTAGATGCATCCCTACTCCAACACAGCTGAATCAAAGGGTTGGATTACCTCTTCAGCATGCCACCAAGTTTGGCAAAGACCTAATAACAAGCCATTCATTTGATTCAGGTGTGTTAGAACAAGGACACATCTAAAAGCTGCAGGACGGTAGCTCTTCAGGACTGGGATTGGGCACCCCTGTGTCAGATTGTACCCATGTTCACCACAGTACCTGTCATAGTCCTGGGTCTGTGACTCAGTGTTTTGATCTTGTATTATTATTTTTAGTAGTCTGTAGTCTCTTCTTGGTTCATGTTTACTAGTGTTTTGCGTTCTGTATTTCTTGCTCTTAGCTTTTGGTCTCTATGCCCCTCATGTTACTCTGTTCCCTTTGTTCTGTCAGTGTATTTCCTGTTTTACTTTGAAGGTCTGTGTCTGATGTTAGTGTATTCACTTTGCATCCTCCTTGTCTTGTCATATTCATTAGGTTCAGCTGTGTCTCCCTTCTGTGTGTAGTCTCCTCTTTGTCCTCTGTGTGTATTTATAAAGTGTGTGTTCTCTTGTGCGTGCCACGGGTCCGTCCGTGTTAACTCCGTGTTTTCTCCCTGTGTATCTTACCCCGTGTTTGCTCTGCTCTCCATCTCCTTCAGGTTTCAAATTTGTTTGTTTGATCCTTAGTTTTTCTAGTTCAGGTTTTCTTAGTTCTGATTTTGCCTCCCTTGCTTTTGTTTAGCTTTTGTTATCGTAAGTAAAGCTCACTCGCATCAAGTAAGTGACTGCATTTTGGGTCCTTCTTCATAACTCCACACGGCTTACCTCACTAGCCGTGACAGTACCCAAGTTCATCATGAAAAGAATGTGTCTTCAGTTCATTGTGCCTCATTAATGTATACTAAGAAAGTGTACTAGGAAAATACTACTGTATATTAGGCTTTGGCTGCACAATTTGCAAGTTTAAAAGTTCAAAAAAAGGTAAAAAAAAAAAAAAAAAAGATGGGCGTAAGTAAGTAAATCTCACTTGAATTTCTTTTTGTGCATAATACTTTGTTACTCTTTAAAAGAAAAGATACAACATGTCAATCTTGTAATTAATGCACAAACATGTCTGCTGTTACTGTAGCCAAAAAGCTTCTGTCTTTATCCTTTATTCCAAAAAGCCTTTGCGTACATGTTAGCAAGCTGCAGTTTTACTCTAATGTTCATTTTGGATAGAAAGAACCTTTTAATGGCAAGCTTCACGTGCAGCTTAAGCTTGTGATTCTCTTTCAGACTATAAAACTGTGTGCATGCTAATAGCAACAGGTGCAAGCATTACCTGCACATCCTGTAATGAAATCTTACATTATCTGAGACTTCTAGTCTAGCCCTAGACAGACTGGCATTTTTTCTCATGTTGTTGAAAATCTTTTCTACTTCTAGAATATTTTCCTTGGACTGGAATGGTTAGGTTTTTTTTCTTCTTTTGGATTCATAAATATCCCAAAGGTCTCAGGAAGCTCTTTAGATGTAGGCATAATGATGCTACACATTTCAATAACAAAGAGAATAGCAGACACTGGATGTTTGGTGTCACACATATAATGTGATTGATCTGTTTTAACTTCATTTAACCAGGAAGTTCTACTGAGATCAAATTTCACAAGGGATACTTGACCGAGGAAGCAAACATTAAATACAACCTCTACAACACAATATAATGCATACAAATATCCACAACATGAAGCGTAAAACACAAGAGAAAAACACCCACAGCTCTAATTCCCCATATTCCCTACAATGCTTTTAAATTCACTAGTGGCCTCTTTTTTCTGAAATTTTATGTCATTTATATTTTCAAATAATGAAAATGATTAAAAATTTTCTGTCTTTTTCATACAGCTTTCATCTAAAAGAGCTGTTTGAGAGTTGATCATATGTTTGCTTGTTCATATATGTTGGAAAAAGTCCACAGAGTTCAATTTATATGCTTTACTGCTTTATTCCTTACGATACTACTGTAAAATAAAACTGAAAACCCCATGAATGTGTTATTTTTTATGGCAAATGCACTCAAAGCACTTTATACAGCATCTCTCAATCACACAAGCTCTTTCTAACATTCCCACTCTAATGAATGCATTGTGAGCAGCTCGAGGTTAAGTATCTTGGCCAAGGATACTTTCACAGGCAGACTGGAGGAGCCAGGGACAGAACCACCAACCCTCTTATTAGCAGATGACTTGCTCTGCCTCCTGAGCCAAAGCTACCTGAATAAACCTCATTCTTCTATTAAAGTATAAAAATTCTGATGAAAGTATCAAATACTTGATACTTTGTTATTCTGATACATCAAATTCCCTCCATAAAATTAAAAAC